TCACCAATAGAGCAGAGAGACATTCACACACACACATGCACTGACACACACGCACATGCACACCAATAGAGCAGAGAGACATACACACACACACACACACACATGCACATGCACTGACACCCACACACATGCACACCAATAGAGCAGAAAGACATACACACACACACATGCACATGCACTGACACACACGCACATGCACACCAATAGAGCAGAAAGACATACACACATGCACTGACAAACACACACATGCACTGACAAACACACACATGCACTGACACACACGCACATGCACACTAATAGAGCAGAGAGACATACACACATGCACTGACAAACACACACATGCACACTCACAAACTCTGACCAGACTCGTGAGGATGATGTCGTCAGGATCGAAAGTCTGGGCATCCCTGCTCAGAATGCTGCCCCTGCAACACGGCAACAGAGATTGGAGGAGAAAGTGGATGTTTAGTTTTATTTGAATAACAGTTGAGGAGATTTATAATAAAAAAAAGTACACATTTTCCAATAGATTTGAAACCCTGGCCAAACCTTTTGTCTGGTATATTTTTCACAGAATTGAGTCAGTGAGATCCTAAAGATATTCATTTTTGTCATTTCACCCTCCTCTTGTTTACTGGGACCTTAGAGTTCTTGCAAACCTCACCACAGAATTGTTATTGTAGATACCCTCATTTTTCTATAGTAGTTTCAATCCTAATTTCCTGGAACCAGAGTCCAGGGCCCACCCAGCACTGAGCCTCCAGACCAATCTTGTGGACCAGTCTGAGGTTGTTGTCATTATTGTACGTTGTGTAAGATGGAGTAAGTCCACCAAATCTCTCCTCAATTTCAGTGGTTTGCTCGGGGGTCATTCCGGCTCCGTGTTGTGTTCTGTGGGATTCTGAATTGTCCCGATGCGGTAGCCCCTCCCTGTCGCCCTCCACACAGGTTCAAACACAAATAATTTACACACACTATTCCTGACCTCGGTTTTTGCCGCTAAATGCTGTTTATTCGGGACAATGCACAAGTATATTCAAATAAAACTGTTGCGTACAATGGACGGTCCACTGCTGTGTGTAAAGTCGGAGCTCCAACTTTGCTAAGAATAATAAATAAGTGCGGCAGCTGCGGAGAACGCTCGATCAGCTTTATTTTCACTTGGCTGATACATTTCTGCCGCTCGCTGACTTTGATTGCCGAGGCTCATTTGGGCCGGGGTCATTGGCCCGTTTTGAGCACACACGCCCTGTCACCAAATGTGCAACTGGACTCGGCTGGACTCGGCTCCAGTGGGATTCATCGTCTCCAGTTGTTTGTGATTCAGACGCGTATGGCTTTGCGTACACTTCCCTTTCCATAGTAAAATAGTGAAAATCAAACAGGCCGTGTATTGGGAGTGGACTAACTGAGCGCTGATTTCACCCGTAGTGCTAGCTTTGATGCAGAAGAAGTCGATATGAACCTAAGATAGCTGGAGCCAATTCCCTTATATGGGCATTTATTCCGTGGGCATAGCTTTGTGCCATAACAGGGACATAACAAGCTGGAGTTTCCCTTGATGAGCGGTACAAAAACACAAACATAGATCACAGAGAGCCCTAAACTATAGAATTTTTTTAATCCCAAAATGGTGATTTTACTTTTCAATGTAAGTCAGTAGGAGCCAGAGAGAGTTGGAGCAAAACATCATCAGAGAGCACGACCGTGTTGGGCTTCAATGAGCTAGAGAGTTAGCATTGTCCGTGCTAAAATATGTTATTTACAATTTTTCAATTTGGTAAAAAGCATGAGGATAAGGAAGGCCGATAGTATTATTTATTTAACATACTTATTATACGGTATATTCTCTAACTATTGAATCACATTCTATAAAAATCAAATTAACACATTCAATATTCTATCCCCCCGACCCAGAAATGGACTAATAAAGGGGATGAAAATGACAAGACATAACAATCACATTACAATGTTGAATGGCCAAAAATAAGCCATAATATTTCTATAAATAAAGATTACTTTTTGTATTTGCCCATTACCTGTCAGGATAGTAATTCACCAGGATTGTACCGTGTCAATAATTCATAATGCAAGGGGAGGTAGCGTTTCAGATTTATGCAGCCCTCAGTCTTCCTGAAAATGTGAGACAGGCTTCTACTCTTTTAATGCACAGTGATTCTGATTTTAGTGTCTTGTGTTTGTTTCTATATCTCTGAGTGCTTTGAGTTGACTTGTGCTTTACAAATAAACTAGCCACGTCTTGCCTTGCACATGTAGGCTCAAACCGCTCTTGTCCCAGTCTTTTCCTATAACAAGCAGCGTTGACGGTAAAAAAAAAAAAAAATCGTTCCATTGTGAATTGCACGTTTTAAAAATAGCCTCTCTCTCTCTTTCTTATTCCATTTTTAACAGCAGAGTAGTAATCAGCCGCCTATTCTGTTCCAAGCGTAGCCTTCCTTAACCCCGATCACCAGGTTTAGCCGTGATTTAGGCCCTCCATTCTCCCGAGTAAGTACTACATGCGGATATAAATCTGGGCTTGTGTACGGCTACGGCTCGGATTTCTCCATCGCTTCTCTGTGGACGGCTCCGACTATGGGGACGATAAAATATGCCCATGTCTGTCCAGGATTTGGGAGAAGAAGAAGAAAAAAAAATGTTCCACTTGTATGACTAGCAGGGAGTTGGAGGGAAGGAGTTCGCCGAGGGTTGACTTTGGCACGTATTCTCTGCGGTAATAATGGATCCCAGAATGATTTGTTCTGCCACGTGACTTTCCAGCCTCACAAGCATCAACAAAGCCTCAGACGTGTGCACATGGAGGACTGGGCTCAGGGCAATCGTCTTCAGGTTTCTTATACACTGCAAAAAATTAGGAAAAATCTGTTAAGTATTGCTCTATTTTTGGCCAAATTTATCATAACTTGAGCACATTTTGACTGACTTTAAAACTAGATTTGCCAATGGGACAATGAGCAAAATGATCTGGTCATAAAAAAGATTCGAGAAATGTCTCCGTTGGAATGAGAAAAAAAAGCTATAGTTCTTGAAGTCAGACTAAATGGCTTCGTCCCATTGGAGAATCTTGTTTTTATACCGTCAGAATGTGCTCAGATTAAGATTAAAAAGCACTTGATTCAAGCCTTTATCACTTCATTTTTTATCATTTTTTGCAGTGTATGCTCTCTTCCAACGTAAACACATTGTGGTTACATCACATTAGTAACTATATCAACTTATCGTACCATAACTTACCATATTGAATTATCGTACCATAATCAATCAATCAATCAGTTTTATTTATAGAGCCCTTTAAAACACTGAAGGCGACCAAAGTGCTTCACAATAAAATTACATCAAAGCAGTTAAAAAGTTTAAAAAAACGTACTATATCGAATTTTCGTACCATTCAATCCAAATCCACTTTATTTAGCACATTTTATAAAGAACGTTTCAAAAGTGCTGCACAGAAGTAACATTCAAATACACATCCAGAACTTACTACAGTATATCGTACCATAACTTACTATAACATTGTAAAGTGCGCTATATAAATAAATATGGTAAAATGCGCTATATAAATAAACATTACTTACTTACTAACTACATTGACTTATTGTTCAAAAACGTACTATATCAATAACTCAATAACTTACAATATCGCGTTATCGTACCATAACTTATTATATCGACTTATTAATGGATGAAACAATGTAAACTTTTAGCTTTAACAGTTTTCATCTGTACATAATCTGTGCTAAAGTCGACACAATTTTGCAGTTTTCTTCGTTAAATGTTGAGTTTTAGCTGTAGATGGTTCTACACAGCTAAAGAGAACTGAAAGGGGCATTATGCAACTTTTTCATGTGAATTTTTAAACGCTTAATCTGAGTTATCTATATTTTACATGCATCAGTGGCATAAAATATGAGAAATATGATGTCGATAAAAATATACGTTAAATGGTGGTATATTGTAATAACTATAGAACTGAGTGTGTAGAAATTCACTGAAAAGATATAGATATAGGTGTATAATAAATCAGATCTTACAGCCGTGAGTGTTTTCTAATTCCCGTAGAGGTGGAATTTACAGTGAATTACTATATTCTGAAAATTTCCGTGTTTCACCTGTATAAATGTTATGAGACGTCCATATATGTCCTTGAATGTCAAATGTCTGGGGGACTGGCCTCCTACTGCCATATTTACTTTATAAGGACTCTGTTGGCAAATGCAATCACGCCGCATCTTGTTTCCTTTGAGCCTTTTAATTTTCACACATCCTCAACTGCAGCAGCACAAGTCTTTTTATTTCCACAGCGCAATTAAACGCACCATGTGTCCTGCTTTTGCCTCGTAACAAAAACAAACAAAACAATTAAACACTTGCGGCGAGGGACTGAACTCCATCGCAATGATCCAAATTACTGAGTCCAAATTCATACTTTTCTAAAATAAACATGGCTTTTCCCTGTGCTCTTAAATGCACCCGCTGGCCTTGTCTCGGCTGAGTTTCCAACCAGGATCAGGACCAGAGAGCTCAGGTTTACATGAGGCTAATTGGAATTAAAATTGGACCAGTTGATGGATCCTTTTTTTTTTTCTCAAGGCAAGTGCTTCAAAAAACAAGAAAAAAACGTTAAACACATAAATAATCTCATTATAAAGAGTTGTTGGCGCAAAAAAGGAACTGTCTTCAAACTGGATTTGAACATTGTCAGAGAAGAAGCCTGTCTCACATTTTCAGGAAGACTGCTCCAAAATGTACCTGCATAAATCTGTGCTCTCATTTCACCTTTTATTCTGTTGTAATGTGTGCATCTGTGACACTGACATTTATCCACTAAGGGATGAATAAATCTTATCTTATCTGAAATGCTGCCTCCCCATGTTTGGTCCTGACTCTGGGCACCAGCAGGAGGCCAGTCCCTGTGCTCCTCAGAGTCCCAGCAGGAGACCAGTCCCTGTGCTCCTCCGAGTCTGAGTAGTAAACCCTTCTCACTGTTGTCTTGCATTTGCACCCTGCACTTTGGCATCCCTCCCCTCCTCTCTGCTTCTTACATCACCCCCCCCTCCCCTCTCCTTCTCCCCCTCTTCCTCCTCCTGCGACGTTCCGGCCTCGTGGGACATCAAACGAGTGGAGCAGGCGTGCAGCTGATCCGCACCTCTCCTCCCTCTCCAGGGCTGCCTGCGGTTGGGACCTGCGACCCCAAAGCAGGAAGGGCCGTCCCTCCACTGCCCTGCCGGATGATTTAGGAGCTCGGGAGGAGATGTGAGAGAGCGAGTGCAGTGGGAGGGACCGTTGGGAGGGGGTCACTATCCAAAGCAGGGTTGTATCCTTTAGAACAGACCTGTGACAAAGTGCGGCCCGGGATCCACATCCGGCCTGATTCGCATTGGCCTGAAAACATTTAATTTAATCATTTGATAGACAATGCGTCGTTGTCAATTCTGTGTCGAAAAGTTCTGTAACAGCGATAAACTCTGGAGCAACAAACTCAACTTTAATAGTTTCAAAGAAAAACAATTTGTGTGCACCAGCTTTCATACCACCAATGATTACACCTCTGAAGCTAAGCAGGGCAGGGCCTGGTTAGTTTTGTGATGGGAAACCTCAGGGAAACTCAAGGAACATCAGGTGCCACACTGGAGGGGCTGCGGTGCCAAACTGTTGTTGTGTCCTTAGGCAAGACATCCACATTAGAATGAGTCTGGTGTGTGTGTGAATGGTTGGTGGTGGTGGTTGGGGCTGATGGCACAGACTGATTGCCTTGCTTCTGTCAGTCTGCCCAAGGGCAGCTGTGGCTACAGTAGTAGCTGTGGCTACAGTAGTAGTTTATCACCACCATGTTTTGAGTGAAGGGATGTGAAGAGACTTTGAGTGTCCTGAAAAGCACTGAACAAAACCGATGCAATAATATTATTATGTGTGGAGTGGATGAATAATTAGATTTGTAGATTAGATTTGATTCAACTTACAGTAATTTTCATTACAAAGTCAGAAAAATGCGACAAAATGCAGTTTAGCATCTACCGAGTTGTGCAAAAGCTCAAGTATAGGATCATATTTACACAGAAAAAATATATTTTAGACTGTACAAAGCTACTATTGCTAGTATATCTAGTACTACATTACATTACATTAAAGTGCATCTAAGGCGCTTTAAAAAATGCCTTTTTTTGAGTGTCCGTTGCTGTATTCCACAACCACACCACCTCCATCCAATCTACATGGATTGTGTCAGAATACAGTTGACCCTTTAATGGTGTCCTCAACCATTTGGTAGATAACTTTTTTTGAGTCACTATATCTACTTGAAACATGCTTAGAACTGAAATCTACATCTTCGGGACATCTTACTTGGTTTTAGGCACTAGGGGTAAGAACAAAAAACAGTAAAACAGTAATCAGTGGTCCTACACCATAGAAAATCCAAAAAAAGAAAAAACTACATTTATTTCTTCAAGGAGTGAACATTGAAGGGTTAAGCCCATTCCATTGCCTCCTTACATCTTCATCAGCGAGAACCAACCGTGTGGATGACGTCGCACCGGCTTCCTACAGTTGAAAAAACACCAAAACCGCGGCTGATTTGCATCTGTTTTCAATCCTGTGTTGAAATATGTCTGCTTTCACATCGTCCCTGCGTGACTTTTCCGCCACTCGATTCCTATGCAAGCTGTAAGATTCTTGGGTTGTGTTGGTCGTAAGTTGGCCTGGGCTCTTCCTTTGACAGTTTGTTGGCGCGCCGCTGGACCCTGAGAGCTGACCTGTCTAGTGAGCGATAAAGGGGCCGCGCAGAAGTTATGGTCGCTTTTATTGTTTTTGTAAATGTAGTGTAAGGTTATGGAGCTTTTTTCCATTTGGAGGTAAAATATGGCTCCAAGGTGAGTCAAACAATGGAGCAAATGGTTGTGACGTGACGAGCTGGCGTTGGGCATCGGTCAAGTGCTACGTACGGAAAGGAAAGGCCAGGGTGATCTTTGCTAATTAGAATACACACATGTCAGGGTTTTGGATGATGCTTTCTTTGCCTCTTATTTATGGATGTTTCAAAGCTGTGAGACCTGTTTTTCTCTCCGACGCAGCAATAACATGTGGAATGTCTCCGGAATCGTTAACAGCGAAAACTATTGAATCGTAACAATGAATGCCATATCCTTTTATCATATGGTGCTAAGCAGAAAACCCTGAATAATAACAGTATTTCTCTGGTCTACAGATGTTACCTCAGCACGTTTATCATTGTTCTTTGTGCTCCACTTTACAACCACAGCCTTTTTTATCTTTTGAAATGAAAATAAAACACAATTTATCACAGGTCGGGCAGTTCAGACCTATGGCTGCTGATTTTCCAGGTAAATCCAATTTTACCTGGAAATGAGTGGAGTCTGGCTCTTACTGGAACCAGTCTGACACCCCTGATATATACTATAGGCAATCATTTATACACATTTGTGGAACAATAAATACATTACAAAATATATTTTCTGATTATGTTTAGGCCGCAAAGGGTCCACCACTGCTTAACTTGACTGTTTTTAAACAAATAATACATTTTCTCATTCCAACAGAGAGTCATACTTTTAGTACAAATAAACCCTCAACATGCTATCTTTATCTAATGTGAAAATGTTGCATACTTTGAGAAAGAAAGAGCCCTGTAAGTCACTATTTGGCTCTTTGGGCTGGGAGGCTTGATTGGTTCTTTCTAGGTCACGTTTCTGTGTAAAAAGGCAGGTCTAAAGATGTGACCAGAAAGGTTTAACTGCTGTTGCTAACCATGCAATATTTTAGTTTGAATGTGATATTCTTTTTGTATATGAAGTACTTCTCACCATGTGTGTTTCTGCTGCCAACCTCACACACTTCAAAAAGTTATTAAACATTTGTCATATTTGGAAAAATGTATGCATAATTTGAGCACAATTTTTGACTGCCTTAAAACAAGATTTGCAAATGGGACAAAGCAAAATGATCTTGTTTTTAAAAGAAAAGAAAGAAGAAATGTCTCCCTTGGAATGAAAAACGCAACAGTCTAACTAAAATAGGACTTAATTACTTTGTCCCATTGGCAAATCTTGTCCAAATGTGTTCAGATTAAGAAAATCCACACGATTATTACCTCATATTTGAATCAGTTTCTGCAGTGCACGCCCCCTGCAGGCCGCCTGATAAACTGTCTAAGTACCCATAATGCTCAGCTTCCCGGGGGAACGCGTTGCAGAAGGCTGCGGTCGTTTGAGCACGTAGTCGGGTGGAACGTCGCAGAAAAATGCTTTGCGGTCGCGGAGACAATAACTTCTGCTTCTGGGACAACATTATGTCACTCGACAAAACTCTGGGATTTCTGTCAATTCCCTGTACTTCCCCGGGCCTTCGTCTCTCTAAACACCACTGCTTTTTTTAACACCCGCGTGTGTAAAAGTTGGTGTTGCGTGGTGTTATGGTGCGTTGGTGTCCATGGCAACCACCAGAAGAGAATCTCCCCTTCCAGATATCCAGATAGCATGGCGTGTTTACGTGGATCCGGAACAAGCGATCTGAGAGCTGGAAGAGCTGCTGGCGGGAGGCACGGGGCGTTCTGGTTCCCCCCTTTCTCTCGACTTGTGCCGCTTGTAATTGGAAACAGCTGCAGAGAGTTTGGGGCAGAACGTGTGGGTCCAGGCAACGTGACTCAAGCGTGTGCAAACAATAGGATGTCGACTCAAGATTGTGCTTCTTTCGTGGAGGTTATTCTCACCAACATCCAGGCCGTGATTGGCGTTTGTGTAGATACTGAGAGGGTATTTATCAGAGGGAACTTTTTCATCGTGGGAGTTGTTTGAAATATCCTTTTGGATGTAGTTTTCTCGATTTTTGTTGAGAACTTTGAATTGTGTATTGTACAAAATGGGGATGGATCGATTGGGTGTTGTTCTATCTGTCACACTTTAGTTTAGCCGTCACTTATTACACTGCAAAAAGTGCTTAAAAATACGTTAAAAATTGCTCTAACGTTAAGAAATCTCTATTTGAGCACATTCTGACGCCTTCAAAGTTTTTGCCAAGGGGACAAAGCAAAATTATCTTATTTCCCAAAGTTCCAAAGTTTCCAACAGTTTTTGAAATAAGTGGCTTTGTTCCATCGGAAAATCTTGTTTTAAAAAAAAGTCAAAATGTGCTCAAATTAAGAGAGCACTCAATTCAAGCAAATACCTTATATTTTTTTCATTTTTTGCAGTGTAGCCGCTACTTAATTGGCTGATGTTACTCAGAACAGTAAAAATAATCATATATATATATATTTTTTGCGTGAAGCGCTTTGAGAGCCGTAAAAGACAATGGACAGGACCCTTCGCATTGGTCCTACAACATAATTCAGTAAGCAAGCCATTCAATACTTGAGGATCTTGCTCTATTTGATATTTTACTTGAACCAAAGAATTCGCTTGATAAAAGGCAGTCCAATAACGTCTAACTTACTTTTCATTTTCAACATTCATATCACAAAGTATCAAAATCTAGAGTCATAACTGGAAAAGCTGGATCTGGTCGTCTTTCTTTTATGTAACGTAAGTCAAACATTTTCCAACGATTGTTCTTTTCTCAAATGTCCCATATTTAGTGACTTAAAACCCAACAATATGCTTCATCAGCAAATATCTAAATTCAAACTCTTTAACTGGGCTGAAAGCAGACACTGCTAAAACCCAGGTTGCCCATTCCGGCGTCTTCTAACCATAACCACCAAGATGCCTCCAAACGAGACGCAAAAGCAGACTCTTCTGGTTTACGGTAATCTAAAAGACAATGTGAAGTACATTTCTTTCAGTGTGGAGGTTTTGTGTGCCCCATTGCACCAGCTCCATACGAGGGTGGGTAATATAAACCGTGGTTTGGGGGCAGCGGTTTTTCAAGATTTTCTCTTCAAACACTGTCGTCTTTAGCTGCTGGAGTGGTTGTTTACATGCAGATCTGCTGGCTCAAGCTAAACTTTTAAACTGCCCTGAGCCTTCCACAATTCTATTTACTTTCTTTACACAATCTTGGCACTCCGAGGTCATTTTTCTGCACTTACCCCAGTTCTGCTTGGCGTCTGGGGTACCGAGACATGCTCCTTGCCAGCAGAATGAAAAAGAAAGTGAATCATCATGAGGTTTTGTGTAAACTCGGACGCAACTCGGCCTGGATTTGACAGACAGATCTTAATGAAGCCTCCCTCCGTAGCGGGTAGTGCATGTATAGCTTTCAGATATTACATTATCTTGCTAGCTCGGGCTGTTTTTTTGTTGGATCGAGGAGTGTGCAAAGCCGTGGGGGTGTGAGAGCCTCAGAACGGGATGGGTGTGCAACAACAAAACATATGAAACTCAATCCACTGCACAACATGTAATTTTGTGCTAAAAGTGGCACTGGGAGATGTAGCCAGAAAAGCTGGTTTGAGAAAGACATTAAGGCAGATTCGCTGGTCTCGGTGCTGAGTGATTGTTGGCGAAGCGTTCAGGGTATTACTGTTTTTCAAGGACTTTATATGTGTGTTTTCAATCCCAGTTTGGTTGGATCGCTAATCAAAAAGTGCTAGGCTAGGTCTGTGAAAAGCCAACAGTGTGGGTTGAAACATTTTGCCACATGCCTCTAAAGGGAATTCTCTTCGGCCATGATTTGTATGTTGTACTGCTTGATTTACATGTATACATTTATCAATGTTTGATGATTTAAAAAGTAAAATATCAGGAAATGGTCCGGAAAAGCTCAAATATATGCAGTACTGCGCGTGGTCCAATCAGAATACTGTATTCTGAATACTTGGGATACTTTCACGCTCAATGGCATGACAACAACTTTATTTTTTTGCATTTTGAGATCCAATTCTCATGATTACTGATTAGAAAATATACGTTTACCTGCAGTATTAAAAGACCAAACAACTTATCTTTTTTTAATCTCCATCCAAAGTTGCTTGATCATACACCAAACTGTCGCCCTTCAATTTTTTGACAGCAACTTAATCCGAGAAAATTGATTCAGAGTACAGTTACTCTGTATTCTAAGTACAATAATTGTATTATTATTATAAATAGTTATTTATATAATGTTTTTTTATTTGTATAGCACTTACAATGTTCACAACTTGCACAAAATACAGGAAACTCAAGCAAATATGTGAAGCCACACGTAAACAAGCTTTAAAAGTGATCAGAGAAATCTTAAATTGATTCTGAGATACACAGTCCAGGGGTGATGTGTTCCATTCTGTTAAAACCAGTAAGAAATGTCGTGTCTGCATCGCATGATTTTTCTAGCATCAGTTGTATTTGTGTTAAAAGATTGCACAATGTGAAAATCGACGCTGAAAATCACTCCCCCTGTTTACAACGTGGCTTTCAACATGGGCCACATCTAATGGCAGAGAAATGGAAAAGCTGTATCTTCTGGGTCCCTGACAGAGAGAGATGCATGTACATTATACAGTGCATACATGGATGGATAGAATGTCACCTGGAGACGACTTTCTTTAGCTTCTATCAAGTGCAGCGTTGTCTAACATTCCCTCTCGGTGTCTAGACGTGAGACTGTAGCCCTTAAAAGGACACATGGCACGACTGAGTGTAAAGAAGTCGTGTTCGGCCGCGGCGTTAAGCCTCCGAGTGTTTGTACAGTGAAACCGCAGCGTCGTCTGGAGTGACAGCTGCCTCCACCGCTGATCCTGCCCCCCCCATCCTTCTCCTCCTCATCCTTCTCCTCCTCCTCCTCCTCCCCCTTGCTTCTCTACTCACACATGGACCCAGGCAACTGCAGCAGAAAGGAAAAAAAATAATTTTTCAAAGACCTTCAAAACCAGGTTAAAATCACAAAATCTGAAGTCCATTTTTTGGGGAGAATATATATAGTAATTTGGGGATTTTTTGTTGAATTCAAATATTTTGAAAAAATATATCACTTTCTTACATTTGATATCAGCTGTCATGACCAATAACCAAATATTGAGTGATTTATGGTATAAAATATGACAACATTCCCTGTCTTCAATCTCATTCTACAGCCTTCTTTTCTCCTTTGTTTTAAATTATAATACATTAGAACGTATTCAGATTAAGAGATTCGTAATTCGTCCCACGGAGGGGAATTTTCAGTGTTGCATCACCAGTTAGAGAACAGAAGGAATGAGGAGCACACGGCACAAGATAAATGAACAGTAACTCTAGACTAAAATAAAATAGTGCTGCCTGTAGTGCATTGTGTTAGGTTGTATTTTATTGTATTTTATGTTGTCATTTCCTACGTATTTTCCTGCCGAGGGACTACAGATGGAAAGTAGCTTGGTAGCTATAATCCGGCATTTGTTTTATACTGATGTTCATTAATGTGCATTGTCCCTATTAATTAATAGTATACTAGTATAACATGTCTAACTTTAGCATAACATAGAAGCAAGTATAAAATCTCTAACTTTAGCATAATATAGAAGCAAGTATAAAATCTCTAACTTTAGCATAATATAGAAGCAAGTATAAAATCTCTAACTTTAGCATAATATAGAAGCAAGTATAAAATCTCTAACTTTAGCATAATATAGAAGCAAGTATAAAATCTCTAACTTTAGCATAATATAGAAGCCAGTATAACATCTCTAACTGCAATAAATATAAAAATCCTCATTCATTTTTTTCATTATTTCAAAATGTATTTAATAACCTGTGAAAAAGTGTATTACAAACGCATACAAAGTCATTCATTCAAATATTTCTTACTGTTCAGTGTTTGTTTGTAAAATGCCATTGGTTGAATACATGATACGTCGACATATACTGTAACCAGGCCATATGTTTGACTCTCTCTTCAAGTGTGTATGAATCCATCTGTACGTATATTTGCTGCTCCCTGTCATGATACCGGAACACTGAGGGAAGAAAGAAGACATTTGTATCGCATTATTATTTCCAAACCCATTGAGCCCTATCACCCAGTCACCCATTGTAATCCGGCTGCTGCTTCCCTTGACGATGCCGTGATCTTTGCCCCGTCATGACAGGCCGATGCGTGGGAGAGAGTGGGAGACCTGGTGTCGAGCCCGTCTTTGTAGAGCTGCTGTGAGTCGAGGCCCGGCCACTATAGATTCTTTATTTTTTTTTATTTTTTTTTTCAACATAACCCAACATACAGTGGCAACAAATAGATATAAGGTGTCACATAATCAAAGAAATAAACCCCTCCTACAGGTCACACACACACACACACGGGGACAAAAATAAAAAATAATATAAATACAATTAGACCGGTTCCAGTAATGATAATTAACTATTAGTAAATAGAATGTATACATGCCACATCATAGTAATAATGAAAATAGTACCTACACAAAAATTCTATATTAGTAGTTAAAGATGCAGTCAGGGATTTTTTTTCCAGACGCAGTTTTTTATATATTGTGGAAAAATGTCCCTAAACCCTAAAAGTAGTCAAGTAATCATGTGTTTTCAAATAGTAATGGAATTAACCAGATGCCTATAGTCTCCAAAAATTAATAAAACATATTTTATTTTAGCGGAACAATAAAAATAAACCAATGGGATTCGTTCATCCCCAACAAACCAATGGGATGTGTTTACCCTCTTCACCCTCTTCCTGTTTCTCGTGAGTGCACCGGAGTCATTAGATTTCCTACAGTAAAACCTAAAATGGCTGAACAGAAAATGCCAAGAAAAAGCTGGATGTTTGGTTTGGTGGAGAGGCGAGGGGAGGGGGGTGGTTTCGAGTTGATGCTACGGCTAAGCTAACAAAATCTCTTACCGGCCAAAGATATATTTTCTTATAGTTAACTATCAGCCTTTAATTGCATCTCTTCTTAATATTTGGCACATTTGTTGAGTCCAAACCTACCAGAAAATAATATCCTAAGATTGTCCATGTCAAATACAAATATGAAAAATATGTAAAAATAAATAATGATAACAAAAGAAAAAAACATTGTTCTACGTCATGGTGCTACGTCCCTTAGGACTTCGCTAGTGGGATATCACGTGACCCCCAGGTCACAGACGCCAGAGAGATCAAAATAATTTGCTCCAATCACCAGCCACCTTCCTCTATAAATGCCCCTGCACAAGGCCGCACCCCCTCTTTCACTCTGGCGCCGTTTGAGATCTACATTCGTTACCTGAGAAAGAAAGATGTCTTCTGATGCACGTCCGAGTTCCCCTTCGCCATCCGGCGTCGGACGTCGTCGTTGCTCGACCTGTCGGGGCAAGCTCCAACGCAAGGACCAGCACTCCAGCTGCTTCATGTGCCTGGGTGCGGGCCATGCGGCGTTGAGCGCCACCTGCGCCTCGTGTGTCGCTCTCCCCAGGGAGGAGAGTGAACGCAGGCGCGCGTTCTTCGCCGCTACAGCGCCCCGTCCGGACTCCTCTAAGGACGAGGAGTCTGAGATTGACTGGGCCCCCCCTCGACATTCCACCTGTGCCCGCGGAGTGGGGTGACTGCGAGGACGGAGAGGTGTCGGAGGTCGGCTCTCTCCTCACGCTGGACGAGGTGGTGTCCAACCCGGAGCCGGACCGCTTCCCGCTGGACCACATGCCTGGGCTCTACGCCACGGCGGCGGCCATCATGGATGCCCCCCTGCCACCGCAACCGAACCAGAGGGTGGAGGACTTCACCTCTGGGTACGCAGCCCCTCGAGGGAGGAGGAGAGCCCAGCCCACGTTGTGCCCGCGTATGGACCCGATCGTCCATTACGCGACACGTGAGTGGCCAAAACCCCTAGCGGCCAAGAGGCCCGCTTTGGGGTATGGCATGTACTGCAACGTGCAGGACTGGTCCTGGACAGGCGGGGTCCCGGACATCGAGGACTCGGTTCGGGCGGCCCTGCACCCCTCCTCATCCGTGTGGCCCAGCACCAGACCTCTCCTTCCCTCCGAGCGGGATAGGATGTCTCTGGCTATGCATGACAGATGTTACGCCAATGCGGCTCAGGTCGTCGCGGTGGCGAACAACATGGCTTTCATCACCGGGGCCCTGGATAGGTCTCTCTCCTCTGACCAGGCACTCAGTGGAGACACCTTAGCCCAGGCGAGGACCACTTCAGCAGCGATCTTGCGCATGTGCCAAGCGCTAGC